AAGTGAATTTGCTCTGTAAACTTTCACCCAAATCACAATTAAACAACAAAAAAAATCCTCTGCCAAACCTGTATATGGTTGTGGGTTCAGTCTACCTGTATCTGTTCAGCTTGCCTGTCCGCTATCCACTAAAGATTATTGTCTGTTATGAAAAAAATGTGTATGAATTATTACTCTGTAAACTTTCACTCAAATCATAATAAAAAGTTAAAAAATAATGTTATCATTCTTTTATGTTATCTGATTAATTATGTGTTTTATATTTCACTGCATTATTTTGACCTAACTTTTTCTTTTTAACTTAGGTATGTGGGTTTTTAAAAATAAAATAGGATTAAGACAATTATACACACACACACACACACACACATGTGTAATTGTCTTAATTGCATTTTATTTCATACACACACACACACACACACACATATAAAGGATCCTGGTGGTGTAGTGCCTAAGGCACTTGACTGCTAACCAGAATGTTGGTGGTTCAAACCCACCAGCCACTCTGCTGAATGAAGACTAAGAAATCTACTTCGGTAAAGATTTACCACCTTGGAGTCAGAATCGACTTGACTGTAGTGAGTTTGGTGGGTTTTTTTTTTTAATGCTTTAGTTAACATTATGCTCAAGATTTGTGTCACTTTGAGGGTAGTTAAAAAAATAATGCTATTTCTAGTATTTACTTCTCATTTGAGGAGTTTTCCAGTTGTTTGGGCCCACAATTTGCTCTAGCTCCTGTTGGCTGTAGGTACCAAAGAATTAATGTTTGAGCCCCAGGCTCAATCATTTATGTGTAAGTTTACTGGGGGATCCAAGAAAGTAAGCTACTTTTCTATTGCTCCCAGGGGTCTACATCCCTGAGGGAAACTAAAGTAGATAAAATGGAGAATCAAAGTGGAGAGTTCTTGTTCTCTTAAGGATGTATTGACAATCTAATTTCTGGTAAGTGCAAGGAGCTAGCATACTTTTGGAAACCTATACTAAAGCTCTATTAAACAGTTTATGTCTAAATAAATGACTCTAGTGGGGAGAGGGTGTAGTTTTATGGTGTGTGTGTCCATGTGTGTGCAAATAGAGGGTGGTTTGGATTGCACAGTCTGAAGGTTTAAATGAGACTTCTTTTTTCCAGCTCTGATATTGGAGGACTCTCATTTACTTGACAACATTAAAAATAAAAGTAAGGTTTACTGTCAATTAAAAAATAAAAAATTGCTTTGACTAGTCTTGAATTTGATGTCTGGGAAATTTTTCTTGAAATAATTATTAGTAGCTGGTACTTACTGATTAATTTCATATGTTGGAGACTACATAAAACTGTCTAAAATAATTCTTCTGTCGACACTGTTTATAACATTTGACAGAAGAGAAAACATCTACTTGGGGTTCCAAGTTGTTTACCCAGATACACACAGTGTGTTGTGGAGCTGAGATTTATGCCTAGATATTATACATCAATCTTAGGAGCTGATCTGTTGTCTTAAAGAATAGAAATTCTAAAGTCTCAGCAACATTTGACTTAAGGACAAAACTCTCTTCCTTTTGCATGCACTGTATCCAATAATATTGCTGATCCTCAGCATTCTACTTAAGATTTAAATTTTACCTTTTGTACATTATTTTTTTCTCAGATGACTTCATCTACTCCCATGACTTCACATATCAAGTATCATGTCATTGCTTCTGGGTGGACGGCACTGTTGCACTATCCCTCCTGAAGTTCAAATGCTATGTCTAAATGTATACTCTGCATAAGAATGAATTTACCATTAAAAATCTGGATGGGGAGAATGGATATCATTATCCCTTGGGAAGCATTACATAAGAAAAGGGGAAGGCATTAAGAGATACTTCTACGCATCTTAGATTTTTTTCCATTCACATTCATTATTTTTTATTGCTTAGAGCCTGTATATTCCAAGTACTAAAGAAGGTTGGGCAATCCTACTTCCCTAGTGATACTGCCTCGGAAACCCAAGGAGGGGTTGCTATGAGTCGGGGCCGACTCGACGGCACATAACAACAACAAAGCTCTGGTAGCATAGTGCCTAAGGCACTTGACTGCTAATCAGAAGGCTGGCAGTTCAAACCCACCAGCCACTCCTCGGAAGGAAGGTTGGGCATTCCTACTTCTGTAGTGATACTGCCTCGGAAACCCAAGGAGGGGTTGCTATGAGTCAGGGCCGACTCGATGGCAAATAAAAACAACAACAACAACAACAACAACAAATGCTGATGACAGATACATAAAGATCAATAACACTCAATTTATGCCTTTTAGTATTTAACATTCAGTGTGCACATGTGTCTGATGGTGATGATGAAGGTTTGGTTGAACAAGGATATGGGAAAACAGTACATTAGAAAATAGTGTAGAAACGATGCATAATAAAAGATGCACAACAGAAGGATTACCAGAATGACCGAAGACAATACCCCTCAGTAACAGGAGGGAAGAAGAGAGTAAAAGCTAAGGACCCTTGTAAATGAGAATGGTTCTACTATTTCAGAGGAGGAGAGATCAGAATCACATTGTTTATGTAGACACAATTGAATCTATTATATGCAGGATGATTTTCATGAGATTTGCAAATCTACTACCATCTCCAAAACACGCTTCTCCTGAGCTTCTCATTAGGCTCGCTTTCATAGTGAGTGATGAATAAGGCATGGCTCAAGTGTTCAGGAGCTTCCAGTCTAGAAGATTTAGCTCTATTTACAGACTAATCAAACATATCTGGGTAAGTTGTTGTTGTTATGTGCCGTCGAGTCAGACCCGACTCATAGTCACCCCTCCAAGGGTTTCCGAGGTGGTATCACTATGGAAGTAGATTGCCCAACCTTCCTTCTGAGGAGTGGCTGGTGGGTTTGAACCGCCAGCCTTCTGGTTACCAGTCAAGTGCCTTAGGCACTATGCTACCAGAGCTCCTATCTGGGTAAGTAGGACCGCACAAAAATTAACTATATCGGTTCAAGGATGCTTGTCTTTTATTGTGTTTGTCTTAGTCATCCTCAAAAGAATAAAAACTATAATAATAATTCACAATCAAACTTCAATTTAGGGAGTAATTTCCAATGTATCCTATATTTTCCATTGAAGATTGGTGAACTTTTTCTATTACAGATTGAAATTTAAATAAGTCTGAGGTTAACATATCCAATGATCTTATTTAGATAATTGTGTTTCACTGGTAATTCATAGCAATTGTTCAAAATTAGGGTAGTCTGAAGCCCAAACATTTGGTATTAAGTTATAAAATTGTATAATTTACCTTTGAAAATATCACTTGTGATTTCTTTAAAAGAGACCCTAAAAATAAAACCAGAGCTTAATTATTATTTATTTATTTAAATGTATATGGGTTTTTCATTTTTACATTGCAAAGACAAATTAGGTGCTGTGGATTCTTTCATTTAAAATTCCTTTGACTAGTTGGATCATCTGAGAGAGAGATGAACACCCACATGATACTGCATGGCGTCAGCACTTTCCTTTGAAATTATGACCTGAGTGTTGCTCAATAGGTGCTTATGCTGGGAGGTACTACATTTCATGTGGGAATACATACGTGAAGATGCTTGGGATATTTAACTCAATGGGTATATCTACTATTCAAGTTCTACTACATATTCTATTGGAAACTCCTTTATTTACAGGATATTTAATTAAATCACTATTTAAAGATACTTGTTAATGATTTTATGCGCCTTGCACTGTGTTTCGCTCTTCACAAATATCTGTAAACACCAAAAATCTTTCAAGATTTTATTCACTTTACAGACCTAAAAGCTGAGGTTCAGATAGGTTCAGTAATTTTCTTAAAATCAAGCAAGGAAATGACAAATATGTTTGAACACACATATTTCATCTTTATCTTCATATAATTCTTGATGGAATACATGTACTTACTCATGCATAAAACATAGATAATGAGTACCTACCTAATAAGTTTTAAGAGTCCCTGGGTGGTGCAAAAGGTTAACACATTTACTTTGTTGCTAACTGAAAGATTAATGGGTCAAGTCCACCCAGAAGTGTCTTAGAAGACAAGCTTGACCATCTTATTCTGAATAATCTGAGAACCCCATGGAGGGCATTTCTATTCTGACACATATGGAATAACCATTAATGAGAACTGATTTTAAGGCAACTGTTACCTTATGCTATGCTCTGGTAGCATAGTGCTTAAGGCATTTGACTGCTAACCAGAAGGCTGGTAGTTTAAACCCACCAGCCACTCCTCGGAAGAAAGGTTGGGCAAACTAATTCCGTAGAGATACTGCCTCGGAAACCTAAGGAGGAGGTCTCTATGAGTTGAATCCACTCTACAGCAGTGAGTTTGGTTACCTTATGAGGAGCTCTGGTGGTGTATTGGGCAAGACATTTGGCTGCTATCCAGAAAATCAGTGGTTCAAACCCATCAGCTGCTCCATGGTAGGAAGATGAGGCAACACACTTCCATAAAGATTTACCACCTGGGAAGCCCATTGTGGATCACTGTAAGTTGGAATTCACTCAGTGACAGTGGGTTTTGGATGAGGTTACCTCTTAAGTTTAAGAGATAATTTAGTCTATAAATTTACTTTGTAGCATGTAGTGTTTACCAAAGTGTAGTTATTTCAGTTATATCTGATTATTTCCTTAGAATATTATTTTCAAACTTTCTTCTATGAAGTCTAGGAATCTTGTAAAGTTCACACATAGGTTGCTAAAGATCATATGGAAAAGGGACTAAGCAGGATTCTAAGTGTTCCAATATTGATTCAATCAAAGTAACTACTTAGATGTATTTTACATATTGGATTAAATGTTGGAAAACCACCAGTTTAGGACAAATTTTCAAAGTGATATTGAGGGCATGAGAATGGTAAAAGGCTTTTGATAAATTTTGAAAATTAACATTATGTCAAATATGCTTTCCAGTATACTATATAAAAGACCTATTTATCTTCATGACACTGACTTTATGCATAAGTGCAACTCTTTGTTTATGTGGTTTCAGATCTGGGTAAAGACCTCACATTCCTCCACATTATGTCTGTTCTCAACAATTCAGAGGTCCAGCTTTTTATTCTGATTGGGATCCCAAAACTGGAACATATCCACATCTGGATCTCCATTCCCATCTGCTTCATGTACCTGGTTGCCATCATAGGCAACTGTACCATTCTCTTTATTATAAAGACGGAGCCCTCACTCCATGAGCCCATGTATTATTTTCTTGCCATGCTGGCTGTCGCTGACCTGGGCCTATCCCTCTCCTCCCTTCCTACCATGCTGAGGATCTTCTTGTTCAATGCTATGGGAATTCTACCCAGTGCTTGCTTTGCTCAAGAGTTCTTCATTCATGGATTCACTGTCATGGAATCCTCAGTTCTTCTAATTATGTCTTTGGATTGCTTTCTTGCCATTCAAAATCCCCTAAGGTATAGTTCTATCCTCACTAGCAACAGGGTTGCTAAAATGGGTCTTATCTTGGCCTTCAGGAGCATTCCCTTAGTGGTTCCATTCCCTTTCATTCTAAGAAGACTAAAATACTGTCAAAACAATCTCCTTTCTCACTCATATTGTCTTCATCAGGATACCATGAAACTGGCCTGCTCTGACAATAAGATCAATGTCATCTACGGCTTCTTTGTTGCTCTCTGTACTATGCTAGACTTGACATTGATTTTTCTGTCATATGTGCTGATCTTGAGGACTATACTCAGCATTAGATCTCCAGAAGAGAGGCTCAAAGCCTTCAACGCTTGTGTCTCCCACATCTGTGCTGTGCTCATCTTCTATGTGCCCATCATAACACTGTCTGCCATGCACCTTTTTGCCACGCACAAAGCCCCCTTGTTATGATCTTTATTGCCGATGTGTTCTTACTGGTGCCACCCCTGAAGAATCCCATTGTGTACTGTGTAAAGACCCGACAAATCTGGGAGAAGGTCTTGGGGAAGTGTCTTAAAATATGTGGGAGATAAGAAGAACATTGAGGGAAGACATTATCAACCAGTAAGTATTTATTGTCAACTACTATGTGTCCAAGGCTACAGAATTCACTATCCAATGAAGGTTTTGGAGAGGAGGAGGGAAAAGTTGTAAAGTACAAATTAAGTTTATACTTATAATTAATTAAGGTAGGAGTACACTATAATTATAATTTATAATTAAGTTAGGAGTACACTATTCAACAGAAAAGAAGAAATATTCAGGAGATATTTGATATGCTTCACTGACATTCAATAAACATTTTAAGACAGGTGGAAATAAAACAATACATAATGGAGTAGTTAGGTTTTTAATTAACACTTACCGGGTAAAACTGAAAGATTTAGATTATGATTTAACTAGCTTTTATTAAAAATTATATACTTAATTTTTAAAAATATACTATCAAGAAAAGATAAACTAGCAGAAAGGGTAACTCAGGGGTATATGTGTGCTTAGCCACTGGATACAAACAGATGCCCCATTGGAGGCACTCACTCAGTTATGCCAAGAGATTGGAAGACAGCTACCTGGCCAACTGACTGGAAGAGATCCATATTTGTGCCCATTCCAAAGAAAGGTGATCCCACAGAATGTGGAAATTACAGAAAAATATCATTAATATCACACCCAAGTAAGATCTTACTGAAGATAATTCAGAAACGTTTGCAGCAGTATATTGACAGAGAACTTCCAGAGGTTCAAGCCAGATTCAGAAGAGGACGTGGAACAAGGGGTATCATAGATGTTGTCAGATGGATCTTGGCTCAAGGCAAAGAATACCAGAAAGATGTTTACTTGTGTTTTATTGACTATGCAAAGGCATTTGATTGTGTGGATCATGACAAATTATGGACAACATTGAGAAGAATGGGAATTCCCGAGCACTTGATTGTACTCATGAGGAATCTGTACCTTGACCAGGAGGCTGTCGTTTGAACAGAACAAGGGGACACTACATGGTTTAAAATCAAGAAGGGAGTGCATCAGGGTTGTATCCTTTCTCCACACTTATTCAATCTATATGCTGAGGAAATAATCCAAGAAGCTGGACTATATGAAGAAAAACGTGGTATCAGGATTGGAGGAAGAATCATTAACAACCTGAGATATGCAGATGATACAACTTTGCTTGCTGAAAGTGAGGATGACTTAAGGCACCTACTGATGAAGGTTGAAGAATACAGTCTGCAGTATGGATTACATCTCAACATAAAGAAAACAAAAATCCTCACAACTGGACCAATGAGCAGCATCACAATAAATGGAGAGAAGATTGAGGTTGTCAAGGAATTCACGTTGCTTGGTTCTACAATCGATGCCAATGGAAGCAGCAGTCAGGACATTAGATGACGTGTAGCATTGGGAAAGTCAACTGTGAAGGAACTGTTTCAAGTGCTGAGGAGCAAGGATATCTCCTTGAGGACTAAGGTGTGCCTGACACAAGCCATGATATTTCCAATCGCCTTGTATGCATGTGAGAGCTGGACAATGAATAAGGAAGACCGAAGAAGAGTTGATGCTTTTGAGTTGTGGTGCTGGCGAAGAATGCTGAAAGTACCATGGACTGCTAAAAGAACTAACAGATCTGTCCTGGAGGAAGTGCAGCCAGAATGTTCCTTGGAAGCAAGAATGGCCAGACTTCATCGCACCTATTTTGGTCATGTTGTAAGGAGGGACCATTCCCTGGAGAAGCATGTCATGCTTGGTAGGGTGGAGGGTCGATGAAAGAGGGGGAGGCCTTCAACGAGATGGATTGATACGGTGGCTGCAATGATGAACTCAAGTATAGCAGGGATTGTGGGTCTGGCGCGGGATAGGACAGTGTTTCGTTCTGCTGTGCATGGGGTGGCTATGAGTCGGAAACGACTCCACGGCACTTAACAACAACAACAACATTGGTCTGGCTCAAATAGAAAGTGTATTTCAGAAAATATCATGTGATAATGTTGGATAGGATGAGTGGAACAGATGTAGAAGTACCTAGAAAAACTCCGAGAAGTCTAAATTCAGGAGATACTGGGGAACCAATTTGTGTTAGCAACAAACATCTAACATGATGAATCTGATTATAAAACAGCAAGAGAGAATGCACGAGAATGATGGATTGAATGTGGGAGGGATGAATAAGGGAGTTCAGATAAAGACTGTTGCAGTAATTGTGCTGTAATGTCATGTCTTTGGGAGTAGGCAGAGAGAAAGAGCAAAAACTTTTATATTTTGGTCAATTTCTAGAAAATTTACAAATCCCACTAAGCAACTAAGTAATGCTTTTAAAGTAGCTAAGATTTTACAGTTTAGTCTTTTTTTTTTTTTTTTCCTGGGCATTTTATAAAAAATGTATTTCTATTCTTCTGGTTGAAACTCAGATTCTTATGGTGTCTGAATTTTGTATCTGGATATTTTGCAATAAAATTTATATTTAAAACTTTTTCTCATGTGTAGAAGAAATATTTTGAACAAAAGTCAAAAGAATGAGTTCACAATTGTAAATTCAATATGGAAGAGGGCAAGGAGTTAAGATTTATATGAACATCTCTAGGGTATTGAGGTATTGTTACAAATAAAGAAAGAATGGCTTGAATGATAAGTTCAAATCTTGTCTTGAAGATTTGGCAATGATGATTAAACATTCAAAGACAGATATGTGGCAGAGAAATTGAAATAGAGGACTGGAATGTTGTCAGTCTTTCAATACCAGAAAGTAACATTGGCCTCATCTGGAAAAAAATAATACTTGGCAGTATATATGGAAGTAAATATGTATTTGGTCTTCAGGCATCAAAGATTCTTCCTAATTAAGGTATCTCTATTATGCTTTTTCACCTATCCATTTCCAATGCTGCTGTCTCTGTATGATTTAAAACTTCTTTCCAGATTCTCCTATCATTCTGCATCTTCTGGTTAACTCTTGGAAATATCTTTATGAAATGTAAATTTAACCACAATGATACCCACTTAAGACCCTTCAATAGCTGTCTGATAACTTACAAGATGCTGACAAGGATCAATACATGCAATCAAGTCTTTCCAGCACTAAGTTCCTGCTTTTCTTATAGTTTATCAGTCACCTCTAGTTTATCTTTGCACTGCAACAGTGTAATACAAATAAGATATATCATGTTATTATTTACGCCTGGACTTTTGTTTATGGTGTGTTTTCTGCCAGGAATGTTGTCTTAATTTCTTTTTTTTTTTCTTTTAACATTTTATTGTGGTTTGGGTGAAAGTTCTCAGAGCAAATTAGAAATTAATTCCACAATGAAAAATGTATACACATTTTTGTTTTGTGACATTAGTTGCAATCCCCTCAATGTGACAAAACTCTTCCTATTTCTTCTCTGGGTTCCCATTTCCCTTCGCTCTTCTTACCTGTCCCTTCTTGCCTTCTGAGCTTTGTTGTTGGTCAAATGCTGCCCTTCTGGACTCATATTATTCCTTGCTCTGAGGAGCATAGTCGTCATGGGTATTATTGTTCTTTATAAGCCTGCCTAGTGTTTAGCTTTCTTCATGGATAATGTTCTTGATATCTTTCCATAATTCATCTGGCTTTCAGTCATTGGTGTTCAATGCATCAAATCTATTCTTTAGATGATCTCTAAATTCAGGAGGGATATATTCAAGATCATATTTT